CCCCAAAACCCCAAAACCCCAAAACCCCAAAACCCCTTAGCCTATATAATAATTGAATAATTTAAAAACAGCAAAATGTCAAATGTGAAAAGAAAGAGAAATATAAACTCGTTTCTCTTCAATGGGGCTGGATACACAGAACTCAACATGAAAGAGCCAAGGTTTTCCAACATGGGGTTCGGCAATAATGTCTACCAACGAGACTCGAACATGACTTCACCTAAGTTCGGAGAGTTTATGAATAATAAAGGACCTAAAGAACAGAAAAATAAAATTGACCTTATTCAGTACAGGAACAAAGCAAGAGTTACACTAAGAAGCCAGAAAGCACGAAGGAGTAAGCAGGTTTATCATGGGTGATTTAGGGAAGACCAATACTAAACCAACCAACCTTGGAATTCATGTAGGTAATTAAACAGGCTATTAATCTTATCAAATTCATAAAAAAATATAACTCAAGCTCTAGAGCAAAGAAGCCATCAGAGGAATAGAGCTGATTTAAATGGAATTGTAAGACTTGTCTCAATAGCTTCACTTCAAAACCTATTAAGCTTTATTAAAATGTAGCCTGAAGAGCTTATAAACCTATTTTTCAAATTATTGGCCTAAATGTTAAATTTTTTACTACTGTCCTTTTTCTAGTCCTACAACTTGGGTGTCCTAAAGAGTCAATATTTCTGGCAAATTATACCTGATAAGCTTAGTTTTGGCACTATTTTTCGAAAGCAAGCTTAGATGCTGACATCTGGTGCTGATTTATCGGTTTTTACGATTATTCATGAAGAATTTATCAACATGGTTACTAATTACCATCTCTAATTTCTCCACAGAGAGAACAGTGTGCTAGTTCAAGTGCGCTTTCTAAAATGTACAAGACTCCTCCTACTGTAGAGAAGAGTAAATAAAGTGATATCAAAGGGCAATTCCATCAAGTGTCTGGAAATCATAAGTAAATAAGATCGCATCCCAGACCAGACAAAGTAGGACAAGGAAGGGAAGTAGGTTGAACAAGACATATGATAGCCATTCTCCTATTATTTCAGGGTATAACCGTGGCAATTCCGCAACCAACGCTGAAAATGAACTTCTATTCAAGAAAATGGAAGGCATCCGCAAGGATAAACGCCATAAATATGAAAAAGCTATTAGTGATAAACTACAGGAGTTGGAAAATGAAAGAGATGACTTTTTCTATAATCAGAAGTATTCAGGCAAAACCGATAAAGTCCAAAGCACGAAAGATAACCTCCTCAAATAAAGATGAAAGCACAGCTACCTCTGCCTCTTTGGAGGATTTTGTTATTGGAAAAATTATAGGGCAAGGAGCATACGCTGTGGTTAGGATTGGATTGCATAAACCGACAGATAAATGAGTAGCCATTAAAATATATGAAAAATCTAAACTAATCGAGCCTCAGCGAAGAAAAAGTGTCAAAAGGGAGATTAAGCTAATGGAGAGAATGTCACATCCAAATATTTGCTCACTATATGATGTTCTTGAAACAAACACCCAACTATTCATAGTCATGGAGTATGTAGGAGGAGATTCCTTGCATAGCTATCTCAAATCTCAACCAAATAGAAGGCTACCTGAGAAAGAGGCCAGAAGAGTTTTTAAGCAAATGCTTGGAGCTATTAAATACTGACACAGCTTATGAATCACTCATAGGGATATAAAATTAGAGAACATCTTACTTGATGACAACCTAAATGTCAAAATAATAGATTTTGGATTCTCCACCAGAATTCCTAATGACAGGAAAGTCAAACTTTTCTGAGGAACACCAAGTTATATGGCTCCAGAAATAGTAACTAAAAGCGAATACTGAGGTCCTCCAGCAGATATCTGGGCAATGGGAGTACTTCTCTATGCCTTGCTTCATGGTAGTTTTCCGTACAGAGGAGCTACTGATAAGGAACTATACACCAGAATATGAAGCTGTGATTGCTATCTTGGAGACCATCTCTCCAGAGATGCAAGAGAACTCTTTAATAAGATCTTTGTATATGATGCTGAAAAGAGGCTCACAGCAGAAAGTATGAACTTTGATCAATGGATTTCGCCTCCGTTGAGCATCAAGGACAAGGTTGCGTCAATTCTTGGAGAGAGTAAAACCAGCACATATGCTAGTTCCATGAATAAAGTTTCAAATTCTAACATTGAAGAGACTGGGTCTGACAACAAGCCTAAATTCTACCGGAGAGATATTACTTCTAATGAAATGGATCTTTCATTGCCAAAAGCAAAGAATATGAAAAGGATTGGTAACAACTTCAGAATAATTAGGAGTCCCAAAGCCAACGAGGAGAAGAAAATCAGTCTCCTTAGGGGAAACATGGCAACACGGAACAGGAACATCATGCATATGGGTACTACTAAAAACAGTTTTCTGAAAACCCAGAAGAACAATAAAAGCCCTCAAGAGAAGGTATCAGCTTATTTCACTACATTTAGATGAATATTGCATTATACAATAAGACATTTTCTGGTAGAAACACAGGTATGAGCAGGAAGTCCCAGCTCCAGATCAGATACCTCTCTAATGATTCCAGAAATGATAAAGATATGGTGTTTTCAGAAAAATATGCTTCTAAGAAGAGCATGAATCTAGACAAAATTTTAGAAGAAAATAGAGAGAATGCAGGAAGCCAAGCCACAATTTGTGCTGAATCAAAGAATCCTAGCAAAAACAACACACCAGCTATTGATGGTAGCAAGGAAGAGAAAGAGGGTGATTTGAAACCCTTAGTGACTCATGAATCCCAAGAAGAATCTAAAATTTCACCGGAGAATATTTTTGTATATTATGATTCTGAAGTGATTCACCACTTGCACACAACAACTAAATTGTCGCTGAACGAGATATTTGTGAAACTTCAAAGTGGAGATACTGAGATGAACAATATGTATACAAAATATCTCGAAAACAAGAGGAAGATCCTCAAGACTGTATATCCAAGTGTGATCCATTCTGCCATCTCCTCCCCTCAAAATAGCAACACAAGAGAGGGTAGAAATGGAAATCTCAATATAAATCTTGACCTATCAAATGCATGGGTGGGCAACAGAGGTAGGAAATCCATCAGAGGGAAAGTACTGGACATGGCTTCTAAGAATTTTTCGAACTCAAGTCAGATAAAATCAAAAATATTCAAAGGGAACTCTCGTAAGCCTAACAAATGGGTGCAGAGACAATTTCCTTTATAGTTAATAATATAATAGATTTTATCAAATTCAAATAATTTTATTGCTTCAACCTCTGGAACAACACTCGGGGTTTTGGGGTTTTGGGGTTTTGGGGTTTTGGGGTTTTGGGGTTTTGGGGTTTTGGG